AGATGCACTGTTTATAAATGGTGGTAAATGAGAGCATAGTTTTTTTTTTATTCATTTGAACTTTTTGTTATTAATGTTGGCTACCAAAGAACTTTTTAATTTAATCTGCTATTCTTTAGAATTTTTGTTCAGGTAATATATACTTATATTTTATTGCCTCTGAGTTTGTGGCACTTTGTGGGTGCAGGTGTCAGAGTGGATGAATAAAAAGGGCATTTGCATATTCTCACCAAGTCAACATGCTGTTCAATTGGATTTGATTGGTAGAGTTCATGGGCTTGTTTCTGCTGAGAACTATTTCAATAACCTGAGGGACCAGGATAAAAATGAAAAGACATACGGTGCACTTCTGAATTGTTATGTTCAGAAGCGTGAAACTGATAAGTCCATCTCGCATTTGCAGAAAATGAAGGAGATGGGCTTTGCCAAATCTTCTCTCTCTTATAATGACATTATGTGCCTCTACACAAATGTTGGCCAGCATGAGAAGGTTCCTCAGGTCCTAAATGAGATGAAGGAGAACAATGTTTTACCTGATAACTTCAGCTACAGACTCTGCATCAATTCCTTTGGTGCTAGGGATGACCTTGAGGGAATGGAAAAGATTTTGAATGAGATGGAGCACCAACCGGACATTGTTGTGGACTGGAACTCATATGCTGTTGCTGCTAGTTCTTACATCAAAGGTGGCCTTACTGATAAGGCCATTGATTCCCTGAAAAAATCAGAAACAAGGCTAGATAAGAAAGATGGAACTGGTTACAATCATCTGATTTCACTCTATGCCACACTAGGGGAGAAGACTGAGGTTTTGAGATTGTGGGATCTGGAGAAATCTACTTGTGGAAGGCCTATAAACAAGGATTATATCAACATTATGGCTTCTCTAGTGAAGCTTGATGAGTTTGAAGAAGTTGAGAAAGTGCTAAAAGAGTGGGAATCATCCGGCAATTTTTATGATGTTCGGGTGCCAAATACCCTTATTATTGGGTACTCTGGTAAAGGCTTGCATGAGAAAGCAAAGGCACTGCTTGAGAACTTGACCGAGAAAGGAAAGGCGACTCTCCCAAACATTTGGGGCAAAGTTGCTGCAGGATTCTTTGACAAAAATGAGGTGGCAAAAGCTTTCAGCTGTATGAAGGCTGCCCTCTGCCTATACGAGGAGAATAAAGAATGGAAGCCAAATCAAAAGGTAATCAGTGGCATTTTGAGTTGGCTTGGTGATGAAGGTAGTGCTGAAGACACAGAAGCTTTTGTGTCCTCGTTGAAGAATGTCATCCCAATGAACAGGGAAATGTATCATGCTGTATTGAAGGCACATATAAGAGCTGGGAAAGAAGTGCATGGACTGTTGGACGCCATGAAAACTTACAAGATAAAGGAGGACGAAGAAACTAAGAAAATCTTGAGCATGATGCAGAATTAAATTCAACAACATAAGGCCTTAATGTTATTCCATTGAGAACCACAATAACTCCCGTATTCAAATCAAGTTTGTTCCTGAGAGAATCATGCAACTGATGCAGCACTCCATTTTGTCTGTCTAGTTGCGTTGAAGCAATTGGTAGTTCAAATTTATCAAGATTATTCCCTTGCTTGCTACCAGCTGTCCATATGAAATTGTTCGAGCTAATCGTGATGGGTTTTATTTATATGCTCGGTCCATTTAATTTATCAACAGCCTTATTCCATGCATAATGCATTGGCTGGAGTGCTGCTTGGGATTTTGCTGTCTCCCCGTTCTCTCTGGTTTGAAGATAGATTTCTACCCCCACACAAATTAAAGGCGGAAGACAATCCTTCTCCCTTAAAAACTACTTACAGTGTTTCGTTAGGAGATAATCCCATCCTTGTCCTTGGTTCTTTTTTTCTTTGTAGCATTTATTGCTTAAAAACTTCAAAGATGCAAACATTAGATTTTAAGCTAGCAACAAAGCCAGGATTGACACATTCAAGAAGGTAAATTCTAAGACAGAATGCGAGGCATGATTCATGTCGAAGATTCAAAATACGAGACACGATCTAAGCCTAAAAATAAATGGGCTAGGGTATGGATCCAAGTCCACAAAACCGGAATGTATTTCACCGATTTTAGATATATAAACTTCCATGAACCAAGCAAGACTACAACTTCATATTTTCAGCATCCTTATCACCTTTTTCGTCATTTTTCTGTAAAGATTGACACCTTGTAGCCTCTAAGACTTTGTTTCCCCTATAACTTTACAAATTCTAGCATCATAGGGTCCATAAATTCAACAGATAACTTGTTCTATAGATGCTTATGATTCTCAGTAATCACATCAATTCATTTTCAACATCTTAACCTATTACCAGCTTAAAAGATATTATGATCTCTTGAGGTTTTCTTTAAATCTCCTCAAATACAAATTTTATGTTCTATTGGTTTTCAATATCATCTGTGCTTTCTTGTTTGCTTTAAAATTGGATTTTTAAGCTTATTTCCTTAGGCCTTTGAATCGTATTCTTTCCATACCTCCTCTGGGTTGTCATAAAAAGTTCTAAATCTATGATAACTGAAAGACTTCAAATGCTTCCCTTAGGGTCTCCAATCCGAGTGCATCCAAGCAAGATTCCTTCGAAGAAACTGCGCAATTATTAAGCACCTGTTGCTTCTTTCTTTTTTTCCATAATGAATATGTCGGAGGTCATGAAAAATCCTCGTGTGAATAGAAGTTCATATGAAATAAATCGATTTTGTAATTTTCTGCCTCCAACTTGAATTTCTGAAGTTTCTACCACGTCAAACAATTAATAGTCAGGAAAACTTGTCTGTGTATTTGATTTCAGTTGAACTGGCAATATGACCATGTGATGAAACCTTTATCTTTCATCTTGCAAAGGAAAGCATGTACATGCCCAAGCAAGCAGCCAAGCACATGTCATGTATTGTGAGCCCAAAACCACCGTTCAGATTTTAGTCACAGTTACGGGAACACTTGTCTCCCTTTCTGTTCGACCAATCTTACCCCATGTCTGTCACCTCTGACTATTTGTTCTGGCCATTACGACTGCATTTAACGAGCAAATTTGACATAACAGATCAACCCTTCACGATGATAAGAAACAGGAAAAGTCGAGCAAGTTGCAAGCACTAACAAATGACAATAGGACTGTGCGAGAGGGCCATTGAAAGCATGGACCCTACAATATTACCAGCTAGATTCATCCATCGTAAAAGCAACCCAAATCATACTTGATACCACTTGAACCACGTTGCAAGACAAACTTTCATAATATAGCTTAAATCTATGATCCATCAGAAAACCAAGCAAGGCATCAGAACATTGATAAGAAAGTATACTGTGCAATCTTCAGGCTCATCGCTTATGTATAACATCAACAGACATCACTAACATGAGTAGAAAATTTAGGTTTGGCTGGTCATTATTTGAAAGAATCGATGTCAACCCTACTCAGATAGGGTGGATTTTAGTTCTCTGTTGTCTCGCAGCTCCAGTATAATATCACAACCGCCTATTAGCTCACCTTTGTAATAAAGCTGAGGAAAGGTTGGCCAATTTGAGAAGACCTTTAGTCCCTGCCTCACTTCCTCATCTGATAAAATATCAAAGGACCCAAAACTGACACCCTTCTCCTTCAGGGCATTCACAACCTTGGAACTGAAACCACATCTGGGGGCATCTGGGGTGCCCTTCATGAAGAGCATCACTGGCGAAGAAGTGATCCGGCTCTTTAAGCGATCTTCTAGAGTCTCCTTCTGAACAATCCCTTTCCCAACCAAAATCCTTTTAAGTTCCCCGCTTTTCTGCATCTCCAGCACGATGTCTGATCCGCCAATAAGTTCACCTTTGATGTACAGTTGAGGGTAACTGGACCAATTAGAATAGTCTTTAAGCCCCTGACGGACTTCTTTGTCAGTGAGAATATCAAAGCTCTCAAAGGTCACCTTCTCCTCTTGAAGGATTGCAACTACCTTCCCACTGAAAGCACACTTTGGTTCGGTAGGTTTTCCCTTCATAAACAACATAACTGAGCTTGAATTAATCAGGCTTTCAAGTCTGGAGGTCAAGGTTGTGCTCAAGCCAGTAAATTGTGTAATGCCGCCCTTACAATTTTCACTTCCACTCGCTTTTGCCTTAACGGAACCAATAGCATCAATTCCATGATCTCTGAAAACTTCTTTTAATTCACCACTCTCATGCATTGCAATTGCTATGTCACATCCGCCAAGAAGCTCACCCTTGCAGTACAGCTGAGGAAATGTGGGCCAGTTCGAGAACAATTTCAACCCGTCACGAACCTCATTTTCAGATAAGATATCAAAAGTTCCAAATTTCACAGTTTCATCCTTCAAAATATCAATGACTTTTTGGCTAAACCCACACCTAGGAGCTTCAGGATTCCCTTTCATAAATAGCATGACGGGGTGAGAGTCAATCAGCTGTTGCAATTGATTTTTTACTGTTGCAATTGATTTTTTAATGCATCACTGAGGCCGGGTTGTGCTTGGTTTGCTTGGGGGGAGGAGCCATTTTCTTTGGCAAACTCTTTGACTGTTTCAAGAACAGTAGGTCCAGCAGCCATTCCAAGGCTGGCAGGGGCTGCAGGTTCTCCAGGGTTAGCTGAGCCAGCAACTTTAGCAACTTTGTTTGCCAAACTGGAAGGATCTGCACCTTCCAATGTATCAACTGTCTTGCCATCCTGATGAAGAAAATGATGAAATGGCTGGTTAGTATTCACAACGAGAACTATGTTTTCAGGAGACTAGAACAGCAGTAATCCATTCCTAGGTTGCTATATATACATGAATGTAGACAATCTTGCAAAAAATAGAGTACCAAATTGAAATTTTCAGGTCATTTTCTAATTTCTTGGAATAAAAAGATGATGAAAATAGGCCCTTTATGGTGACTTGAGTGTGTGCTACATATCAAGAACTTTTCTGGTTTACATGGCTCAGAAATAGACATTGTATACCCATCTACTTGCCGGATGCACAGTTCAGCCCAACTAAATCCAAACCTAGCAATTTTAAGGATCTCATAATTCGTTTGGTTTTGAGAAGTTGTGTTACATGATTAGGCAGGCAGGTTTTGAAAATGAATGGTTTTGGTTTTGAGAAGTTCGGTGGCCTGATTAGTCAGGTGGGTTTAAAGAATGCTCCAAAGCTAAGCTGCAAAACCCACAAACAATATCACATGAGTTGGATGCAGACTTAATCCAAAATTTACAGGAGTATAAAATAACTAGCATCTTTCCACGGGATTATTAAACAGCACACAATAAAAGCATACAAAAAAGTCACTGCATCTCGTCTTTGTGTCAAAGCCCGGGCCAGCAGTACCATGTATCTCATGAATTCTAGATAGTTGTTCTTAAAAACCGATTTTACTTGGCATTACTCTTTTCATTTTAAAGACTCTAATAATGTGCTTCATGGATTCAATTTTGACCCAAATAAGAAATCCTTAATCCTGCAAGCTAAAAGACTACTCAGTGCTCCACCAAATCATCACTTAAAACCATACGAATGGCTTGCACAAGTGAATTACATAATTGAATTCATTAATTCATCTTCTACAAGAGACGATTAGAATCATGATATTCAATTCATTAATTCACCTTCTACAAGAAACTATTATAATCATGAAACCCACCAAAACAGAGCAAATTAATCAATATTAACATAGCCAAAACATGTCCTTTTCTAAGATTACCATTACAGCCTAAATTTCCAACAGCAAAGCTGGATACGGATACTTCCTAACAAAACATCAATAACAACCCAAAAGAACATAAAAATCTCAAAACCTCCCCTTTAAAAGAAAACGAAGATACCTTCACGAAAACAAAATAAGGCACAGAAGACACTGAAAAGGCCTCTGATATCTCTGGTTGCTCCTCTGCTTCAACCTACGAGACAAAACCCACATCAGCAATTCAAACAAATACAAAAACCCACGAGCATGCAAACAAAGAAATTCACATTACATACCGTGATAAAGTGGGTGTTAGGAAAATCAGTGGAGAGATGAGAAAAGACTTGGTCCATTTGTTTTGAAGCATCACACCATGATGCCCAGAAGTGAATGATTACTAATTCTCCACTTTTGGTTATGTTATCAAGCTCAGCCTTTGATTTCACGTCCTTTACCGACAAAGTCATTTTTTTTTATTTTTTATTCCAGCCTGCAACAACACACTCGCAGAAATTTGCAGACACAGCACAACTTCCCTTTCCTTTATTTATCAATAGAAACCTGTGTCTTTGTTTTTAGTTTTTAAAAAGTGATTTTTAAATTTTTATTTTTTTATATATTATTTTAATATACAACTATTAAAAATAAATTTTAAAAAATAAATATATTTCCAACTAAAAACAATATCACAATCTCAAACACTATTTAATATTCTTTTATTTTATTAGATTTTTTACTTGGACTATATTTTGACCCCATACAATTCAACAAGTTTCAAATTCATCCCTTCAATTTAAGATTTCCTGTTGTAAAAACCTAAAATCCCCAAAAGTTTCAATTCAACTCATTAATGTTAAGCAGCTACTCCTAATTACCACCAAGTCCAAAGAGAATATTTTCTTAAAAAAATCATTGAGATCATTTAAAGAATATTATCAAAATACTTTTTGTATTCAAAATATCCTTAATATTTAAGATTTTCTTATTGAA